GGGTCTCACTGTAGTTGAGACTGACCTGGAACTCACTATGTAGCCCAGGGTGGTCTTGAACTCACAGAGATCCTCCTGCCTCAGTCTCCCGAGTGCTGGGATTACAGGCATGTGCCACCATGCCCAGCTCCCAACTTTTTATTAATAAAACTTCCAGATATATACCAAGACTGTATTGTTCTCATGAACATAAATTATACTGCACCCCCACATAGCTCTCAGAATTAAAAATACCAGCAAATAACAACTATTCAATCATTTGCATTAACAAGATAACCAAACTCTGGCATGACTTTTAGCAAGGGCAAGGCCATGTCCCTAAGATTCCCCACTCTCTTTCTTAAAATGACTGCTTGAGAAATCTCAAGCCCATATTGAGTTGTTCAAGTCAACACTGATAAAGGGCAGAGATATACTGTTGATCCCTTTTCCCTTTTTAGAATATTTGCTAAAAAGGGTATACAATGGTGAGTATTTCCTTTCCCTCTCAGATTTCTGTATCTCCTACAATTCAGTGACTTTCTCAAAGATGTGAAAGCCAAGCCTTCGAAATGTAATTAACAGGAAGGAGAGGGTCTGTATATCCCCATGTCTGTGGAAGATTGGAATTCTAACTTCCCTGATAATGTCAATAGCCAGCTAGTAGACACAGGTGGCCTATGGGTTTAGACTGACCAACCCTTTGTATCTTTCACCTGGGCTCCATATTGCTCCCTCTTTCTACTCTTTCACAATTCCTTTAAAAGTCTACTTACAGGCCAGGGATTTAGCTCAGTGGTTCAGCCACCTGCCTCGAAAGTCCGAGGACCCAAGTTTGATCCCCAGTACCAAAACAAACAAACAAACAAAGTCTACTTACCTGTACAGATGAGATTAGAGCTCAGCTTTTCCCCACTGTCAGTAGTTCATAAATAAAATTTTCCTTCACTATCATACCTTAACTTGGCATTATTTGCCAATAATGTTAAATAAACACTTGTTACCAAGTTTCAATAATAATCAACATTTTTACCTATTTTAGTTCATCTGTTCTCTCTTTTGCCCCACTGTGAAACATACACCCACTCTTTTGGGGGCAGTATTTTAAAACAAATTTCAGACATTGCATCTTTTTACTTGAAATGATTATATATTTCTAGCAGGAATAAATATGTAAAATCTCAATGGTCCACTTTCATATTTCCTAAAATCTAATCAAGTTCCACATGCTGTTTCTGGTTCCAATTTCTTTTTTATTGCTTTAATATTATTAGCAGTGTACCCTCCTCCCTTTTCATCATATGAAATTTAATTTGTTGAAGTTGAACTTTCACTTGTCCTGTAACATTTCCCTCATTCTGGAATTTGGCTGATGTCTTTCTGTGGTGACATTTAATTCATTTCTTCACCCCCAGTATTCCTGTCAAATTGGTAGTCAGTTCTAGAAGCTTAATTAGATTTAATTTAGATTTAAAAATGGGGATGGGGGAGATACTATATAGGTAGTGTGTGAATGTCCTGATGCATCAGAGCATGGAGCATACAATGCAGATTGTCTCATTTTCACTATTTCAAAGATTGATAAGTAGGTTTGGATATTTTCAGCCAAATCTATCCATTTTAACGTTCCTTATGCACTTTTTCCTTATACATCTCAGCATTCTCTTATCATCATAGCCTAAGCCAGTGCTACTCAGCTAAGATGGTACTATTCTTCAATGGTACCAATCTATAAGTGAAAATCTGAAAAGTGCAGAAATTTTTACAGCAATTCAACAATGCTGCAATACTGAATTGCATGTTATGGGTATTGCTCCTCTATAAAATGAATGTTTACAACAAAAGAAAATGCCTGTTTCTATCACAATTAGTTTGGGAGCACTGCCCTAAGTAGTGCGCATTACTAAACCCTGGGAGAACTAAACTACTGTACATCCCAACCCTTTTTGGTTTTGTTTTGTTTTGGTACCAGGAATCAAACTCAGGACCTTGTGCTGCCTTAGCAGGTGTAGTGCCACTGAACTAAATCCCCACTCCCTTTAGGTGTTTTGAGACAAAGTCTCCCTGTGTTGCACAAGCTGGGTTTGGACATGCGATCTTCCTGCCTCGGCCTCCAGAGTACTTGGGTCTTATAGCTAAATACTGCTGTACCCAACTCAAAGTGACTATTCTTAAACAGCTATTGTTATTACAAATGAATGAATTATTATATATTAAATGTATTTAAAGTCACTATTCTTTTTGAGATTCTAATTATACCAATTTTGGCCAGTGGAAACTCCTTCAAATTTGTTCCTGTATCTAGGGTTTGATGGCTTTTTGTTATAACACATGCCAGATCTGGACTCAGACATTGCTCTGGGAGCCATGGTTCCATTTAATAAGAAATCACAGGGCCAGGGATTTAGCTCAGTGGTTCCACTGCCACCTGACTCACAAGCGCAAGGACTGGAGTTCGATCCCCAGTACAAAAAAAAAAAAAAAAA